TTTGATATTAACCAACTGATTTTTTGAAAAATTCCACTTATTTGATCAGAAGACTGGAGTTTTTTGAGGAGCGTGGAATGCATTGCATTTGTTCCAAGGTTTACCATGACCCGTTGTGGTAGCGCCTGTTAAAATATATATGGGCAACTTGTGAATCTTCAAACAAATCATTATGAAAGTATAAAAATACATTTTTATAGTAAAAAAACAACAAGCAATACACTTTTATATAAAAAATTACCAACAATATCTATTTATAGTAGGAGAACCAACATGAAAGATCTTTTTCAAGACATTAATCCATATGATATCTTAACGTTCTTAAATACGTCAAACTCTATTCTAAAATATAACTTCAACAAAACTACAACGTAAAACACGCATATCACCGCCTCTAATAATTATATTCACACAAATATATATATGCATAAAAGCTGAGTATTATTTATCATGCATTCAATTGTGAAAGCAGAATAACATATAAAGGGTGTTTCATTAAGACGGATCAAAGTCAGCAGTGAACAAATCAGTGTTATTGGTGAAAATTTATTTATTTCTCTATTGGATCTTGTTATTTAAGTCAAGGCAATTATGTATGAAAAATAACATCGTCCAAATATCCGCTAAATCTGAAAAAAAAAAAAATCATTAGGCGCTTAAATTCAATTCACATTTAAAATCGGTTTAAGTTATTGGAACACCCTTTATTATTAATGAATTTAATATTAACCAACTGATTTTTGGAAAACTTTGATTTATAGGCTAAATATACCGAGTGGATTTCGGCTTATAATATTTGATTTATGAGAATGTTTACAGTAACCTATTTGGTAAAGGAAGGTTTTATGAAGCTCCAGTCATCTTCATTATATTGTAAATGAATGTATATAATTGTATAGCTACTGACATTCTTTTAAATACGTAATTACTGCCATGGCTCGTAAAAAAGCGATAACCTCAAAAGACATAGAAAATATTTTAAAGTTATTTTGATAGCAACACTTTAAAAATCGCGAAAAGACTGACAAATATATTACAGAATAATCAAAAAGACATTGAAGACATTAGAAATGTAAGAAAAAGAAAAACTGGCTTTACGCTTGTCACAAAAAGCGATTTGAGAAGGAAACAACAAGGTTAATAAGCAAAAGAAGTTTATTGAGTAGTGTTGTAAACCTAGGGAAGGTTACTGAATAGAATAATCAAACGAAGGTTGTTAATGAAAGATAATACTTAGTACAAGGATAACACATATAAGATTCGCCAGCGGCACATAGAAGTAGACGTCAACTGCTAAAGTGATTCAAATGAATTCCACTATGAATCTCCAACTACAGGATATTTACCAATCGCTTCACGCGGTCAAATGTCGTACAAGGCCGAATTTGATGTGGGGTATCCGAGCTCGGCCAAAAATTACCCGTAGACCCCGTATAAAACGAGGTCGGGTAGCTGTTTCCCGAGACGAGACTCTGCCCTTCGATATAGCCTCGTCTGGGGATCCTCTCTGCCCAGAGGCATAGAGTTTGACCAGCACAGCTGGAGACGAATCTCCAACTGCAGGATATCTACCAACCGCCCCACGCGGTCAGATGTGGCACAAGACCGAATTTAATATGGGGTATCCGAGCCGTAGGCTCGGCCAAAATTTCCCCGTAGACTCTGTATAAAACGGGGTCGGATTGCTGTTTCCCGAGACGAGACTCTGCCCTTCGACATAGCCTCGTCTGGGGATCTTCTCTGCTCGGAGGCAGAGAGTTTGCCAGAAGAGCTGTAGACGAAGCTCTAACTATAGACCAACATACAGTATTTACTACTGTATTTATATTAATGAGGACATACCCATTATCATCCGTAGGTATGCTACAAGTAGCAAGAAAATATTTTAGAAAATCTGAATCTTTTAGAAAAAAGCTTTCCTCATCAAAGCATTTCGCAGCGATCGAAAAATGTAATAACAGTGTGAAGCAGGGTCAGGTAAAAATGGTTGGTGAGGGTAGGACAGACCAACCAAGTTCCCAATTTTTTTTCTTCTTCCCGGGTAAGACTATAAACTACATCCAACAACAAAGCTTCTGATCGGGTGATTGGAGGCATTGAGAAGCGTGAAACCATTGCAGATGTTCCTAATTCCACTATGACCTGGGGTAGTAGCACCTGTTAGGGTCCCAGCTATGGGCAAATAATGAACCACCAAACAAAACACTGTGAAAATATAAGAATACATTTTTATAGCAAAAATACCAACTATACATTTTTATATAAAGACATTACCAACAATAGCTATTTATAGTAAAATTACCGACATGAAAGAACTCTTTCTTGATATTTATCGTTGTATCGTACAATTTCCTAAATCAAATTGTATTCCAAAAATATAACATCAACAAAACTACAACATATACACACATCACCACCTATAGTAATTACGCCCACGCGAACATGTATATGCCCAAAAGCTGAGTACCATCTACCATGTATTCAATTGTGAAAGCAGAATAACATATATAATACTTTTATTACTTCAATGCTCCAAAGAGAATTAAATTCTGGCATTAAATACTCCATAAGTGTTGATATGCTGTTAAACAAAATCATAAACCATTTTTCCAGTGTTAGTTTTATTGTATATGGTCTTGTTTATCATGGAGGGGAACAACATTTTCACAGAGCTCTTTTCACTCAGACATTTATGGACACGTTGCAGCTGTTGGAAGCATAAATGTGCATTTGTATTCCATTGTGTTTTAAGAACTCTAAAGGAATTCTATGACGATTCCATCACACGCACAACCCCACTTTTCTTCTATTGTACTCAAAATTTGTGTCCGTTTCTGGAGATTTATCCTTGTCAATTCAATTCCTTTTAATACTGTATATTCATCCCATTTTTCACCATCTGTTGTTAATGATAATATTAACCGTTTCCTTATAAGGAAACATTCGGCATTCATTGACCGAACAACCAGTACTACTTTTCAGGAAAATCACTCTTTTCACCATTGATGGGGTTTCCATCCCAACTTTTTGTTTGAAGTAGTGTGGAACGTCAATATATTGATATGTTACTATTTTTTTATTCTTTTTTTAGTTGTTGCTGTTGTTGTTGAAAGTCCTCAAGTAATGTGGTTTCTCTTATATGGCACTGTTCTTTGTGATTCTGTAACGTCAGTTCCCAAGGTTCGAAGAAGGATAGTTCTCTCTAAGACCTACAGGCTTCATTCGCGCGAAACCATTTTTAATCATTTATCCGAGAAAGCGGTTGCATACAGCCATTCACATGAAAATTAATTTAAGAAGTATTAAGAAGCGGGAAAATGTTGTTAGAAGCAAAGGAAAGATTACTGAAGTGTTATATCATATCAATCCTCGTATATGGCAGTGAATTCTGGACAATTCCACCCGAGATAAAGAAGGGACTTGGAGTAACAGAAATGTGGTTGTACAGAAGGATACTGAGAATACACTGATGAAAGACTGGACAAGTGAATAATGACGAAGATTTAGGGAAAATGGAAACAAAAATAAAAAGACTCTTACAGATAGCATCAGAAAGAGAGTTGAAATTTCTTGTCACTTAATGAGGAAAAAGGGCTTGGCAAATTTGACACTCACAGGGAATATTGAAAACAAGGGGAACAGACGATAGCAGCGCATAGACTACCTAACGAGATTGTGTAAATAGTTGACGAAACTGCTATTAGTAGGTATAGCAAAAGAATTAAATGTACTAAGAGCTACAAAAAAAAAAAAAAATAAAAAAAATAAAAAAAATCAACCGTACTTGGGATCATTGACTCACTGCAAAAGATCCTTTCCTTCGCTGTATAATATGTACATCACCAGTTTTGAATTCAGACTTTTTCCTTCTTCTAGACCGGTTGCCAGCCAAGGCTATAGAACACAAACTATCCTACTATTTTCCAATAGCTGGGTGGAGAACTGATAAATTAATACCTTTCTTAAGGATATTAGCACGTAAGTGAATATAATGAACTCAAGTGGAATTTGAACTCCGCTCTACCGATACCTCACTCCGAGCTGCAATCCATTATTCTATCGTGTCTCCTAAGAGCTACAAAGGACAGTAAACTGTGACACGGCACGGAAGAAGACTTACAATGAAACGTTCTTCATTAGTATTGATTCCCCTTAGCAGAAATTATTTTTGAAAGAAACGTAATGTCTTATAAAGAAACATTCGACATTCAGTGACCGAACAACCAGTACTACTTTTCAGGAAAATCACTCTTTTCACCATTGATGGGGTTTCCATCCCAACTTTTTGCTTGAAGTAGTGTGGAAAGTCAATATATTGATATGTTATTATTTTCTATTTTTTTTTAGTTGTTGCAAGTCCTCAAATAATGTTGTTTCTCTTATTTGGTACTGTTCTTTGTGATTCTGTAGCGTCAGTTCTCAAGTTTTGAAGAAGGATAATTCTCTCTAAGACCTGGTATACGAGGCCCCGGCATTATTCCCTTATCCTTTTGTAAGTAGTGGTAACTATTTTCGCGAAGGACTCCAATTCTAGTCACCAGTTCCCTTGAATATAGCTCCATGTTCATCACGAGAAATTACTCTCGAGATATCAGTTTTCACGTACTGCTTACCATATTACTATGGTCGATGTTCGGGTGAATTGCATTCATTAGTGCCACCAGCTCAGACCTTCACATCTCGGACCTCTGTTCACGATAACAAAACATCCTCGTTCCCATCGTGTTCCTTTGATAAAAAGTTGTTTTTCTACGGTTTATCAACCCCTTGCAGGTTATTTAAAGCCAGGAAATATGTTTAGATCGTAAGAATTTTCCTTTCCTGCCATAATAGTGATTTAGTGATACAAGTCTTACTATTTAACTCATAGCGGTGGAGAGAAGAGGTGGATTCAGATCTTGATATTTACACGTAGGTGAGTATAATTCAGCCGATTGGAATTGGAACTCGGCTCTCCGATTAACAATTCCGAGCCATTATCCATTACAACACCCGCAAAGCTTACCGCACCCGGTATTTCTAAGCGGTTACCCATCCATGCACTGACCAGACCCGAGGTTGCTTAACTTCGGTGATCGTACGGGAACCGGAGTTTCAACGTGATGTGTCCGTAAGCCTTCGATCAAAAGTAATTTTCACTCAGACAGCTTTTTCTTCACAACCTTTACTTTGTGGAACAAACTCCCGTGTGAATACTTCCTTGACAACTACATTCTTGGTCTCTTTAATTCCAGGGTTAACTGTTCTCATAATACTCTTACTTTTCACTTCCCTTGCAATCTCACTTAGTAACGCTCTATCTTGAGTGTCTCTTGAGCCTTATATTGAATGAACTATCAGTAAATATTAAAAAAAAAATGCTTCGCTTAAATTACGCATATCTCTTTGTGATGTTTACTTAAATGTAATAATCTGTTTGATTCATGCTTTTCGCCAATGCTTTTAATTTTTGGCATCTCTGTTTGCAATATTATTTTTTTTTTGTTTATAAATATATTACTTGCTAGTCAATAAATTTTTCTTGCTTAATAAATATTGATTTTTTTTTTCTTAATCTGACATATGTAGAACAAAAGATCTAAAATTGTCATTTTAATTAGAGTTTGATAAAAGTCAAAATGTTCCAGAGTTTAAAAACAAAAATAAACATTTTTTTTTATTGTTGATTGTTTCGTAAGGACACTTGGCTCCAGACTGAAGAAGTAGTCTGAATCGCCATAAAGCATAGTATTATGGTCGTCAGAAAGCCTCAACCCAGAAAAAAGGTATGAACGGCGTAAACGTCAGCGTGATTGGTTTTATTTCCATCACTGGGCGACGACAAGATCCTGCATGCCTGACCACAGAGAAAACAGTGTATAGTTATTTACAATTTAGTAACGTTGTGTATTCAATGGACAACTAGTAATTGAACTGCGAAGATTACGCTATAAAACATTTCCCCGTTGAAGTCTTCACTCGAGACATGCGCACAAAAGACAGCTTCGAATGAAGCAACCGACACTAATGTATTTTCGCCACGTCTCTCAATTTCTAAATCTGGCATCTTTTATTTCAAGCATTTCAATAGTTTCGAGGTTAAATGATTCCTTTCTCTGTCGATTCTACAACACAGACTTTTTGTTTTTAATGCGGAGTTTCATACAGTAAGTTATTTATTTGTTTCTCCTTTCTCTCTCTCTCTCTCTCTACATAATACGCGCATTTTTTTTCGTTCAAACGCAGACGCAGATCAATGAGTTGACGCGGAGATTTTTCTTAGATTTTTCCTTGCGGTAAATTACATGACTATCAATATAAAAATGACATCTTGAAATCCAAAGCGAACATATATATTTATTTGAAATGTACCCCATTCTCTTGTCATGTTAATTGTTATGCTGATATTTAAGGTCAAGCTTATACCTGACATTTCTCTGTGTGTGTGTGTTTATGTGGCGGGAGGGACTCTCAGTACAGAATTATCAAAATTAATCCACTGGTCACAAATCCAAGGATTACATAAATCCTGTCTGCATTTTTTAACAAACAAGTTTCGAACACTGGCAAATGTCCCTTTTTGTTGGATTTTCGTACTTTTATTTATGACTCCAATTTTCTTTCTTCCTACCTTCCTTCCTCTTTCGTTCCATCTTTCTTTCATTGCTTCTACTTTTTTCCTTCCTTCCCCTCTTTCTTTCCTTCCCTTCTTTCTTCCATTCTTTTGCTTTCCTTCCTTACTTCCTTACTACCGTCCTTCCTTCTTTCATTCCTTCCCCTTTTTCTTCCTTCCTTCCCCTCTTTCTTTCTTTCTTTCTTTCTTTCTTTCTTTCTTTCTTTCTTTCTTTCTTTTCCTTCCTTCCTTCCACTTTTCTTCCTTCCTTCCCCTCTTTCTTTCCTTCCTTCCTTTTTCATTCCTTCCTTCCTTCCTTTCCCTTCCTTCCTTTCCATTCCTTCCTTCCTTCCTTCTTTCCTTCCTTTCTTTCTTTCTTTTTCCTTCCTCTTTTTTCTTTCTTTCTTCCCCTTTCTTTCTCTTCTTCTTTCCTTTCCTTTTTGTTTCCTTCCTTCCTTTCCTTTTTTTCCTTCCTTCCCCACTTTCTTTCTTTCTTTTCTTTCTTTCCTTTCTTTCTTTCTTTTCTTTCCCTTTCCTTCTTTCCTTCCTTCCTACCTTTCAAATTTTTTTCTTTCTTTCTTTCTTTTCTTTCTTTCTTTCTTTCTTTCTTTCTTTTTCCTTTTTGTTCCTTCCTTCCTACCTTCCACTTTTCCTGCTTCTTTCATTCCTTCCCCTTTTTCTTCCTTCCTTCCTTCTTTCTTCCTTTCTTTTGCTTTCCTTCCTTCCTACCGTCCTTCTTCTTTCCTTCCTTCTTTCTTTCTTTCTTTCCCTTCTTCCTTTCCTTCCTACCTTCCACTTTTCTTCTTTCTTTCCATCTTTCTTTCCTTCCCTTCTTTTTTCCTCCCTTCCTTCTTTCCTTCCTTCCTTTGCATTCCTTCCTCCCTTCCTCATTCCTTCCTTCCTTCTTTCATTTCTTCCTTTTTTTTCTTACTTCCTTCCCATCTTTCTTTCTCTTCTTCTTTTCCTTCTCTTTCCTTCCTTCCTACCTTCCACTTTTCTTCCTTCTTTCCTTCCTACCTTCCTTTTTCCTTCCTTCCCCTCTTTCTTTCTTTCTTTCTTTCTTTCTTTCTTTCCTTCCACTTTTCTTCCTTCTTTCCCTCTTTCTTTCCTTCCCTTCTTTTTCTCCCGTCCTTCTTTCCTTCCTTCCTTTGCATTCCTTCCTACCTTCCTCTTTCCTTCCTTCCTTCTTTCATTCCTTCCTTCTTTTTCTTTCTTCCTTCCCCTCTTTCTTTCTCTTCTTCTTTTCCTTCATTTTTTTCTTCCTTCCTTTCCTTCCTTCCTTCCTTTTTCCTTCCTTCCCCTCTTTCTTTCTTTCTTTCTTTCTTTCTTTCTTTCTTTCTTTCTTTCCTTCTTCCTTTCCTTTCCTTTCCTTTCCTTTCCTTCCTTCCTACCTTCCACTTTTCTTGCTTCTTTCATTCCTTCCCTTTTTTCCTTCCCTTCTTTCTTCCTTCCTCCTTCCGTCCTTCCTTCCTTTATTCCCTTTCCTTTCCTTTCCTTTCCATTCCATTAATTTCCTTCCTTCCTTTACTTTTTATAATGCATTTATTTCCTTAATTCTCTTAAGATCTAATAGTAAGGGAGCCGGCCGCTTATTATTATTATTATTATATTTTCTGACCCCCGCCAACCTATTAAATGATTTTCCAATCCACCCCGTTTTATAACAAGAAAAAAAATTCGCCCCCAACATTTTTAAGCCCCCCGACGTATTTGCTTAAGCACAAAACTAGATTTATGATGGTGGAATGGAGATTCCTCGAGAAGCCTGTCTATAAGGAAAACAGAAATGGTTATGTCGTACTATTTTATTAAATTTTGCTGCCCTCGAGAATCAGCATTCGAAGTATTCTCTTTTACTTAGGTTCGAACAGTTGTAGGAGGAATCCATCTACCACAGCCATGAATCAAGTTTTAAAAAAGTTTATCTCCTGACGCAACTTATTACGATAAAAGGCCATTGGTAATGGAGGATCGTGTGAGAAGCAAGCCAGCGAATTGGACTACGATATGAGCTTGTTAACAATCACTTTGCATTAGTTATATTCATATCTATAGTAAGTAAACTTAAGCATAATGCTGCGAAATTGGAAAACGTAGGAGTTAAGAAGATTGTGTCGTGCCAATCTTGCAGATCAGTATTGGAAATACAAGTTTTTTTAAAACTTAGATTCGTTATCGCTAGAGACGTAGGCAACTATCTCAGCCACGAATCAAACACAAGTTTATATTTGTTTTCACGCATATTTCTTCCTTTTCTCTTCCTCACAATCTCACTGCATATGAATATACAGATTTTTTTTCTTTCTCTTCGCTGTTTTGTTTTTGTCCCTTTCAATATTTTTTCATTCTTTCTTCCCGCTCTTTCGTTTGCTTTTCTTTCTTCTTTCTTTCTTTCTTTCTTTCTTTCTTTCTTTCTTTCTTTCTTTCTTTCTTTCTTTCTTATCACTATTTTTTCTTTGTTTCCGATGTTTTGTTTGTTTGCTTCTTTTTTATCATTTTTCTTTCTTTCTTTCTTTCTTTCTTTCTTTCTCTTCACTATTTTATTTGCTTTTTTCTTTCTTTTCATTATTTTCTTTCTTTCTTTCTTTCTTTCTTTCTACTGTCTGCTTGTTTCTTTCTTTCAGCTATTTTGTTTGTTTCTTTCTTTCTTTCCTACTACTGTCTTGTTTGTTTCTTCCTTTTTTCCTTTCTTTTTTCTTTCTTTTCACTATTTTTTGGTTTCTTTATTTTCATTAATTTCTTTCTTTCTTTCATTCTTTCTTTCTGTTATTTTTTACTTGTTTGTTTGCTTCTTTCCTTCTTTTTTTCTATTTTTGTTTATACGATTGATTGTTTTCTCATTTTCTCTTTCGTCCATTTCAAATGTTCCCCATCTCTCTTTTCCGTCATTATTCTTTCGAATTTCTTTCTGATCTCATTGTCTTTATTTATTCCGTGTTCTTTTTGTTAACACGTATTTATTGAAGAGCAAAGGCAAACATTTAACTCTTCGCTTAATTAAAAAAAAAGAAAGATTAAATCCGTGATCTGCAATGCAATTTGTTGCCCAATCTGGATTGAGACGAATTCAAACGATCCGTAACCTAAAGTCGGTGCTTGATCAAATTATCAGCCAGTTCGACATACAAACCGGAGAGTAAAAACAAAGTTGTCAGACGAGACAAGCGTGTATCCGACAGGAGACCGTTCCTTTCATTGTCTCTACCTACTTCACAGCTGATGGCTATTTTGCAGAAAGTGATTTATTTAATTTCATTCACGAATACATGTTTGTCAAAATGAAAACAAATTTAACCAACATCCGTTCTTTTAAGCTCGGAGATGTCAACAATGAAAATACTAAAATGTGTTCATTTATAATTTTTAAATGAATCCATAAATTCCAATTATTTTGATATTTTTAATGGATAAAATTTGTATTTTATATTTAAATAAATAAAATTTCAAATCTTGTTTTATTTTACAATTCAAAAATCGAATAGAAATTATATATCTAAATGTAAAAAAAAATTAGATTTTA